GCGGTTCGTGGGTTGGCTGGCCCGTGGCCCGCCGGGCCGGGCCGGGCTGGGCCAAAACCCGGCACCTGGCCATGTCTAGTTTCGGGCTTTTTGTACTTGCTATTGGGTTGTTAAAAAATAATTAATGGTGCAACCTTTCTCCCGTTAACATGGTGGACATGACCGCGGGCCGGACCGTCCTAGCACCGGACCGGTCCCGGCCCGGCCCGCAACTAACTGAAAAGCTGCAGTTCTGAGAATCGAGACCGTGCCGGTACGATTTTAGTGTTGGGATCGGGTTGGGACAGGGCCGGTTCACGAGCCCGGTCTTTAGTTTTTGGCGGACAAGTCAAGGGTCACCCATGGGAGGCCTGACAGCCCCAGTCCGCCCAGTTGACTGGCCATCTCTAACTAATGGATGGATACTAAGTAAAATTAAATAGAGATTCAGAGCAAGAGAGATTAAAAATTAAATTGAGAATTTTTTTTTTAATAATATTATGTAGTTCGATTTTTCAATATATTGATAAACATGTTGAACTGTTTTCAAAGCCCTTATAATTTTTATTGTTGTTATTATATAACTTAAAGAATAATAAATGTTGTTAAGAAATGTATATTACAATTAATTTGTTCTAATTTTATTATCATGTTTTCTTAATATAAAACTAGGTAAAAAAAATGACAATTTTTATTATCTTATAAATGAATAATAACTATTATTAAGAAACGTATGGTACTAATTTATTTTTATTTTCAATCGTATTAATATGTTTTGCCAGAATAAAACTAGGTAAAAAAAAGCTACTGATGTAATATGGTGAAATTTTTTTTTTTATCAAAAAAGAGCTTTTTATTTAATAGGAAAAATACAATAATGGTTCCAGAAGAAATGGTCCCACTTTTAACGGTCAAAATATAGGGCATGAAAGTAAATCCACCTCACCCACCGGATAATGGAGGACATATGCTCACGAGTCACGTGAACCCTACGCTAACCACGGTTAGACGTAAACTAACCCAACTCACCGCATTCACTTAATATCCCCTGGAGATCTCTCCACGTGTCCCTCCCTTCAACGGTCACGATCGCTCTTCCCACGGATAAATTCCTCACTCGGTACTATATAAACCTCTCCCCACCCAACACAAAACCCTAAGAGCGATTGACAAAAATCAGTGATCCCCAAACCAAAAGAATAAGAAAAAAAATCAATCAGAAAGAAAAGTTATGTCGAATCCTAGGGTTTTCTTCGACCTGTCCATCGGCGGAGCCCCCGCCGGTCGTGTCGTGATGGAGCTTTTCGCCGACGTCGTCCCTAAGACGGCCGAGAACTTCCGCGCCCTTTGCACCGGCGAGAAGGGCGTTGGCAGATCCGGCAAGCCCCTCCACTACAAGGGATCGACCTTCCACCGCGTGATCCCCAACTTCATGTGCCAGGGCGGCGACTTCACCGCCGGAAACGGCACCGGAGGCGAGTCGATCTACGGCGCCAAGTTCGCCGACGAGAACTTTGTGAAGAAGCACACCGGCCCGGGCATCCTGTCTATGGCGAACGCCGGGCCTGGGACCAACGGCTCGCAGTTCTTCATCTGCACCGCGAAGACCGAGTGGCTCGACGGCAAGCACGTGGTGTTCGGCCAGGTGGTCGAGGGGTACGACGTGATTAAGGCGGTGGAGAAGGTGGGATCTGGCAGCGGGAAGTGCTCGAAGCCGGTTGTGATTGCCGACTGCGGCCAGCTCTAGATCTGATCTGATCTGATGTGGTTTAGATCTAATGATGATTATCTATGGCCTTTAGTTTT